CACAAGTTGGACACTTAACTAACAGCCACACGGGTGCCCCCTGTAACATTTTTTTTTTAAGATTTTAATTATTTATTCATGAGAAACATAGGCAGAGGGAGAAGCAGGCTCCATGCAGGAAGACCGATGTGAGACTCAATCCCGGGACCCCAGGATCACACCCTGGGCTGAAGGCAGATGCTCAACTGCTGAGCCACCCAGGCGTCCCCCCCCGTAACATTCTTGATACCATGTAGGTGCCTCCCCCCACCCCCCACGGTGTTTATCAGTAGAGAATATTTTCAAGCTCAAAAATCTAGGGGATCCCTGGGTGGCGCAGCGGTTTGGCGCCTGCCTTTGGCCCAGGGCGCGATCCTGGAGACCCGGGATCGAATCCCACATCGGGCTCCCAGTGCATGGAGCCTACTTCTCCCTCTGCCTGTGTCTCTGCCTCTCTCTCTGTGTGTGTGTGACTATCATAAATAAATAAAAATTTATTGAAAAAAATCTATGTATATGAATACATATACACACACATACACGTATTTTTTTCCAAAACAAATTTACAAAATTGAAATCAATCTGTTGAGTTTATTTTATTATTTACGATAGTCACAGAGAGAGGGGGCAGAGACACAGGCAGAGGGAGAAGCAGGCTCCATGCACCGGGAGCCCGACGTGGGACTCGATCCCGGGTCTCCAGGATCGCGCCCTGGGCCAAAGGCAGGCGCCAAACCGCTGCGCCACCCAGGGATCCCAATCTGTTGAGTTTAATGTTTAGTTAAATGGTCTCAATTACTCAGCTCCTAGATAAGGGATTTAAAAGGATTGAGATGCATCTAGCATCATAATCCTGAAGTTTTTTGGGATGCTCTTCTATGGAGGATATGGGTTCTAGAGGGTTCTGTGGTCTTGAGCATCCCTTTGCCTTTATGGAGCTCACGGGGGGGGGGGGGGGGGGGGGGGTCTCTCCTCCTAGACTTTCATATTCTAAAGAGGTTAGTGACCTCCTAAGGTGAGGCTTGAGGAAATAATAACCATAATAAGAGTTAAGAGCTGACCTCTCTGGAGTGTTCCCTATGCATCCGGCACTGTTCCAGGTGCCTCTGTTTATTCCCTCACTTAATCTCTATAACAGCCTTAGGAGGTTAGTACCTATCAGCCCTATTAGCCCCGTTTTACAGGTAGGGAGGCCGAGGTGCTCTGACGTTTTGTGACTTGCTTAACGCCACATGGCCAGCAAAAAACAAATAGTTAGACTGCCTCCTCCCTTGCAGGTCTGAAGCACATGATTCCCAGGCCTGGCCGTAAGTCCCACTTTGCCAAGGGCTCATACAGAATAGCTGCCCCTGGACTGGGGCCATCAACTGTTTCTCCTGATAGAAAAAGAGAGGGGGCGGCTGGTAGATTCAGGTTTCATAAATTTATGAGGCAAGCTGCCCTGGGGCCCCGCCTGGCTTGAGGTCCTTTCAGGGGACTGGGGAAGAGACTTAGAAAAGATGGAAGTCTGGTGAGCAGGGGGTACCTGCGAAAGGGCTAGATCACCTGGTGAGCAGACCTGCCTAACAAGAGTGGCCAACGTGCCTTGGGGGCGGGGAAAGTGTGGAGGGAATGCATTCCTTGTCCAGTTTGGTGTGTGGCCAAAAATGAAGTATTAAGTAAGGAAGCCACATCCTTTAAAAGTGCCGAGAGAGGGACGCCTGGGTGGCTTAGCGGTTGAGCGTCTGCCTTTTGCTCAGGGTGTGATCCTGGTCTCGGGATTGAGTCCCACATCGGGCTCCCTGCGAGGAGCTTGCTTCTCCCTTTACCTGTGTCTCTGCCCCTCTTTGTGTATCTTTCATGAATAAATAAATAAAATCTTAAAACAAAGAAAAGTGCCGAGAGAGAGAGAGAGAGAGAGAGAGAGAGAGAGAGAGAGAGACTGCTCTGGAAGGCTGGAGAAGGTCTGGGAGGCTCTCAGAAGAACGTGTGCGTCCATGCTGGGCCCAGGCCCTGCTTGCTGCCAATGGCAGCAGAGGGAACAGATAGCCCATGGGAGCAAAGAATATGTGATAGGGAGAGAGTTTAGCATAGTGAGAGAATCCAGGGCAGCCCCTGGAGCCAAGGAGAAGCATTAACTCTCTAGTGATGGAATAATCAGAGAGGAGCAAGAGGTTGGCTGGCGCAGAGGGTAGGGGACTCTGCTTGGAAGAGAAAGTCTGAGGCCAGCATGTACCTCCAGCAAAGAAAACTGGTCTGCATCTTTTTGTTTTGTTTTGTTTTTTAATTTAAATTCAATTTAGTTAACATATACTGTTATTTCAGTGGTAGAGTTTAGAGTTTAGTGATTCATCAGTTGCATATAACACCCAGGCTCGTTACATTAAGGGCCCTCCTTAATGCCCATCACCCAGCTACCTCATTCCCCCCCCCCCCCACCGGTCTGCATCTTAAATCTAGGTTTATTGGTCTTGTGGTTTTATGTACAGTATCCTCAGGGCACTCACCTGGGTGCCACTGGTCTCCCCAGTACCTCAGTCACTGATCACTAAGCAGGCATTTATTTAATGAGTGTAATGAGTGCCCTTTGTCTGGTGCCAGGACTGGGGGGTACAGGGAAGGCATGCAAACATAGCCCCTACCCTCAAAAATTGTCTTTTATTGGGGAGACATGGAACTCTGTGTCACAGTTATATGGCATTGGGTGATCCCTGTGATGTCAGGTTACACCCAGAGTCTCAGACATAGAATGCCTAAGGACACAGGAGAAGGGAGCAGTCAGTCCATGGACTCATGGAGGAGGCAGGATGTGAGGCAGAGCTTGAGGGGTTAAGTGGGATTTCGTTTGAAGAGGAAAGGCAAAGATGGCAAGGAGAGACAAGGCCCTCAAACCTGAACTTGAATGTCACGGATGGAAAGGTGGACCTCCAAGCGTCTCAGGCCAGCCTGGCACCTGCAGGCGCTGCCGGCACAGGCTTCCCAACACTGGCCGTCTGTGAATGGGGGGGCCAAGATTCGGGCTCTGGAAGCCCTGAAAAGACAAAATGGGCTGCTGCTGGCCTGGGGTGCCAGGCAGGAGGGCTGGAGGGTGGCAGGAATGTGTTAACACCAGCAGCTGGCTGCTATCTGATCCTGGCTCTGGGTGACTTCCGCTTTCCCCATTGTTAACATACCAACCCAACTGTGAACGAATGAATGAGTGGGTAGAAAGGGTCCCTGTGTGGGCTATCACAGCCGGGATAAAATAACCCCAGCTCACTGCTCTCCAGAGAGCTTGCCCTGCCAGCCTTTGACATTGGGAAACCCCAGCTGGGAAATGGCCCTAATGAGTGGAAGCCCAGTGATCAGTGGTGTTTTTGTTGGGATAGAACACCTATTTTACAAAACAACCCCTCAATTATTAATTTTTTTTAAAGATTGTATTTATTTACTTGGCAGAGAGAGTAGGGGGAGCAGCAGGCAGAGGGAGAAGGGGAGGCAGGCTCCCCACTTGAGCAGAGAGCCAGACAACAGGGCCCTATCCAGTATCCTGGGATCACGACCTGAGCTGAAGGCAGATGCTTAAGCGACTACGCCACCCAGGGGCCCCCCTCAAATGGCTTAACCAAGACAAGTTAATTCCTTTTATTTTTTAAAAAGATTTTATTTATTTATTCATGAGAGACACAGAGAGAGGCAAAGACACAGGCAGAGGGAGAAGCAGGCTCCATGCAGGGAGCCCCATGTGGGACTCGATCTCTGGTCTTCAGGATCAGGCCCTGGGCCGAAGGCGGCGCTAAACCACTGAGCCCCCCAGGCTGCCCAAGACAAGTTAATTTCTATCTCCACTGCAGTCGGTAGCCCTGCACTTCCTTCTGGGACCTAGATCTTTCCATATAAAGGTTCTGCCATCTTTTGGAGCAGTGGTTCCCAAGTTTGAGTATGTGTCAGAATCACTGTAATAGGACAGATTGCTGGGCCCATTTCCACAGAGCCTGCATTTCTTTTTTTTTTTTAATTTTTATTTATTTATGACAGTCACATAGAATGAGAGAGAGAGAGGCAGAGACACAGGCAGAGGGAGAAGCAGGCTCCATGCACCGGGAGCCCGACGTGGGATTCGATCCCGGGTCTCCAGGATCGCGCCCTGGGCCAAAGGCAGGCGCCAAACCGCTGTGCCACCCAGGGATCCCAGAGCCTGCATTTCTAACAAGTTCCACCTGCTGCTGCCGCCGGTCCAGTCTGGGGATTGCATTTGGAAAACAGCCCTTCTAGGGCTTCATGGTTCTCCACTGAAGTTTCTACATCCAGTCAGGGGAGGAGGGATGAGAGAGCAGAAGTCAGGCAAAGTGCTTCCACTTAAAACCCCTAGAGAGCCTGAGAAATGTAGTTTTTTTTTGTCGTCCCAGGACGAAAGTAAAATGATGGTGTCTTGCCATGATTAAAAAGCATCCTGGGGATGCCTGGGTGGCTCAGTTGGTTAAGCATCTGCCTTCACCTCAGGTCATGACCTCAGGGTCCTGGAATCGAGCCCCAGGTCAGGCTCCCTGCTCAATGGGGAGTCTGCTTGTCCCTCTCTTCCTCCTGCTGCTCGTGCTTTCTCTCTCTCTCTCTTTTTATTTATTCATGAGAGACACACAGAGAGAGAGTGAGAGGCAGAGACACAGGCAATGAGAGAAGCAGGCTCTATGCAGGGAGCCTGATGTGGGACTCAATCCCGGGTCTCCAGGATCACGCCCCTGGGCTGAAGGCAGGCACTAAACCGCTGAGCCACCCAGGGATCCCTCTCTCTCTCTTTTTAAACATTTTATTATTTATTCATGAGAGAGAGAGGTAGAGACAGAAGCAGGCTCCCCACAGAGAGCCCGATGTGGGACTCAATCCTGGGACTCCGTGATCATGCCGTGAGCCAAAGACAGATGCTCAACCACTGAGCCACACAGGCATCCCAGTAAAATCTTTTTTAAAAAGCATCCTGATTACACCTGAAATAATAGATTACAGAAATCATTTCAAACGTGTGGACAAAATCAACCAAGATTTGTATTTACTCATGGTACAAAGGCCTTTCTGGAAGGCAGAACATTAACAGAGGTCATTATTGAATTTCCAACTTGTCTCTCCATGTTAGTACAAATCTGAGTCACTTGAGTCTCAGGTTCCTGTGATGGATGGTCCATGGTGTCCGCAGTCCAACTTCTGTCTCAGGCCTGGGGAAAACACTGCAAACAGTAGTCAATTCATTATTGTACATGGTGGACTTTATTTTAGCTGTTCCTGGCTCCTTCTCAGTGTCTTTCTTCATCTCTGTTGCCTGCTGACTCTCAGACCTATACTTGTATAGGGCAAGAGGTGTTTGGTAGTCTGAATCCTAGCCATGTTGCATAGGCATGTCATTTAGTTCAGACCTGATTTGGGGTAAAATTAGTGGGTGAATCAGTGGGTAGTTGTACACCTGCCTGTGCCTCGTACTCTAGAGGATTCAGGAAGACACACCTCCAGGCCATTTTCAGTGAGCTTACCTAGGCATAGAGGCCATTGTAATCCAAATAAAAGAAGTGAGTGTTAAGGGGGGATGGTAAGTGTGTCGGCCAATGGTTGAATGAGAGAGCTCAGCTCAAGGCAGAGAATGGCCCTAAAAACTCTGTGCTGCTCAACCTCAGTTCTGGAGCTTCAGGCTTAGCTCTGGGAGCTGCAGTTTTAGCAAGTCTTAGACAAACAGGTGATAGTGAGACAAACAGAGGCCCAGGTCTGGAGAAAGTGGAAGGTGATGGGGCATGTTGGCCACCATGATGTTGTCAAGTCATGGGCAGGGGTGTTATATAACAAGTGGTTCCAGGGGGAGGACAAGGGGAGGACCCAGGCAAGACCTAGGTAGATAGAAGGAGGACAGGGGTTCACAGCAAACACACAATCAAATCATTATGTTGTACACCTTAAACTTAACAACATATTATGTCAATTCTATCTCAATGAATCTGGAAAAAATGGGGGGGGGGGGAAGCCATTCCAGTCAGCAGAGGGACCCTGAGGGTAGGGTAGGGCACAAGAAAGGGCCTAAGGAATGGCCCGATGGCTTTGACAACCAGGAAGAGGGGCTGGACTAGGCCTGACAGGCAAAGTTATGGAAAGTAGAGTCTGGCTGAGGACTGTGGGATATTCAAGGGGAAAGGTCACCTGAAGGTGACTTTAGAAGTTTATTGGCAGCCCCAGTGGCTCAGCGGTTTAGCGCCGCCTTCAGCCCAGGGTGTGATCCTGGAGACCCAGGATCGAGTCCCACATCAGACTCCCTGCATGGAGCCTGCTTCTCCCTCTGCCTGTGTTTCTGCCTCTCTCTCTCTCTCTCTCTCTCTCTCTCTCTCTCTGTGTGTCTCTCATGAATAAATAAATAAAATCTTAAAAAAAAAAGTTTGATGATGAGGGAATGAAGGGACAAGGGGCACATACATATAAGAGTCAACTTGCAGGAGAAAGGTCTTCTAGTCTTTGGTAGTTCTGGCATCTTTGTGATGGTGATTACGAAGAGGCCTCCTTACCTGGAGAGCCCAGTGGAGGATGTTATCAACAGTCCACCCTCTCCTGGTGCATCCTTGCCAGGTACAAGCACAAGACTGCAGCACTGAATTTCTCACAGCAGATGCCATTGTGTGTGGACCGAGAGGGTGGCCCCACTGATGATGCTCCCTGCCCTTGGTTTGGGGGTCGGCCAGGGCAAGGCAGGCTCTCAGTGACTGTATTTCCCTCTGTTTCAACGCCCAGCCCTCTGCTGCTCTGCCTGGGCCTTCCCGTGTCAGGAAGCGGGCCTTTCCCAGTTGATTCGGCTCAAGAGCTCCTGTTCTGGCCAGGTGTGAGGTCTCTCACGGCAGCCCTCCCTTCTGATCCTCACAGCAAGGTGAAGACTCTTACCATCTCAGAGAGGTCAAGGCCCTGCCCTAAGATGTCACAGCAAAGTTGAGTGACAGGGTCTGCCTGTGTCTCAGTTCTCCAGCTCCACATCTGGAGCTCATTCCAGCCTTCGGGATCCTTCTTAGTTTTGCGTGACTGCCTAGGCAGGGCCTAAGGAACGCCTGGGGAATCAGCTTTAGGTGAGTGTGCTCTAGGAACAAGAAGTGAGGTCATAATAAGCAGCCTGCACTGAGGACCTACTCTGCCAGGCCCATGGATTGACGCATGAATCCACACCACAGCAGTTAACAGATGAGACTGCTGAGGCACAGGAAAGCTAAGTGGGTTGCCCAGTCCTGAGCAGGTGTCAGACATTAGAGCCCTCACACTTAACCCCAGGGCAGCACAGGCACCTCACAGAAGCTCACTTGGCTCCTGGTGGCCTTTGGTTCCATGAGGGTTGTATGGTCTGTGCTCGCGAGTTTTCTCAAGAGACTGCCTTGAGCAAGAGAATGACTGTATCCAAGCCTGAGGTGCCACGCTGCACTAGGACTGTGGCAGCTCCTGGCCGGTGGCGGCTCTTTGTGGCTAACTGGTAGAAAAGCTCATGGTCAGAACTGAGAGGGCCTCATTTTCCGTGTGGTGCTCATAGACTTAGCCTCCTGGTCTGTTTGTATGCTCTGCTGCTCATTTTAATTTGAGCGTCATGTTCTCCGAGCTGCCTGGCTGGGAGATAAGGGTTTACTCCAGTCAGGAGAGGATCCCCGGTGGGGGGAAATGTTTTCAGGGCCCCTTCAAAGTGAAACGGAAAAGCTGAGGGCTTGCTCCAGCCTGCTGTGACTCCTCCTTGCCCTAGGGGGCGCTGCGGAGACTGGATGCCTCCTCTCTGAACACTCTTCCTGCGTGGACTGGAAAAACAAGCAACGGTAGCCTGAGATCTCATGGGACCACATTTCCTGGATTTAAAATTTTCATTTCTGTTGTTTCTAGGATTCTTATCCCTCAGATTATACGACACAGATTTATGGTTTGGTAAATATGATTACATGACCATATGGCGTCTGTCGTGCCTCCTAAATTACCATAGGTGAAAATTTTGCTTCTACAGAGTTGTAGGGTTAAAAGCTCTTGATTGTTCTTGATTCTTTTGAAGTTGGTGAAATTAGGAAACTCCAGAAACAAGTGCCCCCCAAGGCATTTACCTGAGTAATTCCATAAGACAGCCATGTAAAAGAAATAGGAAACTCAGGAAGGAAGATGCTAGATAGGCAGTAAATAGATCTTCCATATTATTCCCCTGTTTGAATGGAAATTATTTATTTTGAGCTAGATTTATACTAAACTGAAGAAACATCAGCAACTCCATCCTTTTACACTTATGTACGCACTCTTCTTTGTGTGTAAGTTGGTGCACACCCTGTATGAATATCTGCTCATGTTGGGCAAATTTAGTTTGGTGGAAACTCATCACCAGCATCACCACCACCAATGATTGTGGACCAGAGAGAGATTTTGGAAGAACTGACTTTGGCATTGTCAAGTAGGTGGAACTTTTCAGAAGGTCATCTTTATCCCTCTGACTCCTCTCTAACCATCTCTTTTCTCCCAAGTATATAGTGCTTTTTTTTTCATTTTACTTCCTTTTAGAATGTCCTCTTGGCTGTTAGCTGGAGAGTTCTTGAAATTTGATTCACCTCAGGATTTAAAGCTCATATCTTATCTCTCCCAAAGGAATTTTCTGGATGAGCTCCTATGCAAAAGGTATGACTGTCTAATAGTGGAATTTCAGTCATCTGGGACACACCAGAGATGTGTTAAGAGGTTCTTCCTGGTATCCTGTGAATAACAGAACTCGAGTTATCTCCATGTGTCCTGATTTTTCTTCCGTAAAAGTTTAATACTTTATGTTTGTCTGTGATCCATTTTGAGTTACCTTTTGTGTAAAGTATGAAATTGAAGTTGATGTTATTTCATGTCCAGTCACTCCAGCACCGTTTGTTGAAAAGGCTATAGGTTCCCCAATGAATTCATTGCAGTGTTATTAAAAGTCACCTGGACATATTTGTGTGGGGGCTGATTGTATGTTTCCTGTTCTGTTCCATTGACCTATGTGTTTATTCCTCTACCACTACCATGCTGTCACAATTACTCTAGTTACATAGTAATTCATAATTCACATTGGGAATAAAGATTCCTTTATTCTTTTTCAAAATTATTTATACTCTTTTAGGGCCTTCCTATTATGTTCACAAAGAAACATATATGAATGTTCATAGCACCATTACTCAAAATAGCCACAAACTAGAACCTACCCAGATGTCCTTCAATGATGAGTGATTCAACAACAAACCAGTGCATCTACACCATGGAACACTACTTAGCAGTAGAAGGGAACAAATAACCAACGCAGAAACAATGTGGATGGACCTCAAGGAAATGATGCCAATCTTCAAAGCCTACATACTGCACTATTCCATTTATATAACATTCTTGAAATAATAAAATTAGAAATGGGAACAGGTTAGTGGTTGTCAGGAGCTAGAGGTGGGATAGGTGATTGGCATCCTCCCCATGAAGGAGGGAGTAGCACAAGGGAGTCCTGTAGGGATAGTACAGTTTAGTGTCTTGATTGTGGTGGTTATACAAAGTTACACATGTAATAAAGTTGCATGGGTTCCCACACACATGAGTGCTTGTGAAACTGATAAAATCTTGTGGTGCCTGGCTGGCTTGGTTAAGCCTCTGACTTTGGCTCAGGTCATGGATCTAGAGGTTTTGGGGTTGGGCTCCCCACTCAACAGGGAATCTGCTTGTCCCTCTGCCCCTCCCCCTGCTATCCCTCCCTCCAATAAATAAATAAAACCTGAAAAAAAAAACCCTAGTAAAATTTGAATAAGCTTTGTGGGTCGTGCCGGTGTCACTACCCTAGTTTTGATAGTGTACTATAGTTATTTATGCAGTGTATTCACATCAGGGGAGTGTGGGGTGAAGAATGCGTGGGACTCCCTATTCATTGCTTTTCAGTTTCCTGTCTATAATTATTTCACACTGAAAAGTCAAAAAAAAACCTCAAAGAAAACAATGTTATGGTCTGTTTATGTTGCATCAATAATGGCAAACCTATAAAAATCTGGACGTGTTGCCTCTGCAGAAGGAGGGCAAGTGGCTTCTGGTTCTATAACATTTTATTTCTTTAAAAAAACCCCAGGAAAACAGCAAATATGACAAAATGTTACCATTTGTGAATTTGGGTTGATGAGTTTATTGGTTTTTAGGTTTTTCTCTGTCCTTTCTTTTTATATGTTTGAATTATTGCTTTATTTAAAAAATGAAATAA